ACAAAACTGCAAGTACAGTAGTTTTTGGTTACAATTGCCAAAAACATTTAGCTCTCCAGAGAGTAAATGAGAGATTAACAGGTTATTTGATGAGGTACTGAAAAGTAGCATTTTTGTTTATTCTGAGCACAAAATGAACTTTTTTAAAATGCCCTTTAATATTTTAAGTTTCTTTAAAAAAGAAACAAAAAGAAAAACAACATCTTTACTGGTTTGAGAAAGATTAAATTTTTCATTGAGGGAGACCCTTGAAAATTAAACTGGAATTTTTAAGTTTGTCTTATATCTGCTTAATTGTGTCTAATTCTTTATATCTCACATTTCTAATCCAATTTAAAAACCCTTTTAAAAATTTAAAAACCCTAATGGAATATTTCAGTTTTAGCAGTAAATCATTATAATTTATATGGTGGTTTCTATGACAACCATAGGCCAACTACGGTAATATCCAGCCAACTAAAGGACTAATAATTTGACACAATTCTCAATAATCACTGCCATTCATTACTTAAAGATGATGGTTCTGAGCTTTAATATGGAAAATGTTTACAGCCACATTCATGATAAAATGATCTCAAAGTGTTTTAACATAAACCAAGAAACTGAAATTACGTAAAAGCTAGTTTTTATTAAAAAAAGAAAACAAGTAATAGAGTTCAAAGATTGTGGACTCAATGGTAGAGTTTTAGACTTGGATTCTCCGTAACAAAACAATTTGATTTTCAGGCTGGTGTGACGCACAGCCAGCAGGTCCTGATCACATGACCTCAGCTACCTGCTCTGGACATAGACATGTAAGGGTCCTCAATGCAAGCTGGTGCTCATCTGACTAATCCATAAGAAAACAAAAGAAAAATGATTCCACTGTCCAGACTACAGCAGCCATCATTCCTATTGCTGCGAATGAAATTGATGCGAATGAAAACTCACTTTTCTGCATCCCTGCAAACACTACAAAATGTTATACATCTTTTGTTTTCACGTTTAAAGATAATCTTTTAACAAGCTTCAGACCTAATAAGATTTATAAATATTCCTTTTTGAAAGGTCATATGTGTGCAGTGTGCATGTTTGAAGTGTGAAGACATGATGAAAAGTGAAATGACTGTTTTTAACTGTGATCCAATATATACTCAACAAACAAAAATTGCATAGATGTCTCACAGCTTTTGGATTCGCGGACCTCCTGATCTCGTCCCAGGAGATTACTGCTATTGAACGTGCTATTCATTACAAGAATACACACTGTCTTGTTTGCTCTTGTTCTTTGTGTTGGCATTTTAAATTTTGCACTCATAACATCAGGAGGCACATAAGTGGAACTAATTGCATTTGTTTAAAAAAAAAAAATCTTCCGGTTGAACCAGTAGACCAGCGATGCACAATAACACAATCTGCAACATGTTTATGCATCTGAAAGACAAAATCTGGGCTTAACCCGCATGAACTGCGCCTTCAGTAAATAAAAACCCCAAGTTATTTAGATATGCGTGTAGAAATCATCTTGAATAAATGACCTGTATGCACATGCTTCCTCCCGCTTCTACAGTTATTTAATAATTAAGAACATTGATTTCAAATTAAATTGTTGATTTCAAATTAAATTGTCGCTACAATTTAATTTGAGATGGACCGGTTCCTAACTAGCACTGTACATCATCATTTAATTTTTTTCACATAACTGAATCAAATCGTCATGTTAGGTAGATTAGAGGGAAAATGACACAAATCACTTCAATTGCCAACCATCGCTCCCCTCATCAGTTCAGGAACATTTTCACCTTTATGTTGTAAATATTCTGCATTTGCAGAAAATGTCCTTTTGTTTAAGGGTTGTGTAAAGTCATCCAGAATGTGAGGGTGGCTGGATCCTGGTAGCACGCCGCCGTGTTAAACATGGGTCAGATGATGGATTTAGATGGTAGGTCACTGGTTATGTAAATATTGACATTCCCTCTGGGCTGTCACTATTGACCCTGACAGAGGACCAAACAAGAAGCATTCATCACATCACTGCTGGCAGTGGTGCTATTTTTGCAACACGTCACCAAGATGATTGTCTGTCTGTCTGTCTGTCTGTCTGTCTGTCTGTCTGTATGTATGTATGTATGTATGTATGTATGTAGATGTGTGGTATTTATTTAAAGAAGGTTTGGATGCAGCCAGTTATTAAAATTGGCCATAAACAGCAAACAATTCACAATAAAAGTGACCCATATTCCATTTTTGTTGCTGTGCAACAAACTATGAAACAATTGACTCCAAAACATCAGGAAGCAGCAATTTGATTGGTCAGTCATGCCTACAAACATTCATAGATATCTCCTTTCAACAAAAACAACAGACACATTTATTTATTTCATGAAATTATTGCATGTGTAGCTCATCCTTAAGTAAGAAGCAAGAAAGTTCACACAAGAATTTATTTTGCCCTCCCCTAATGATTGCGATTTGTTATATTCCAGAACAAGTTGCCCGCTATTTTGTCCCTCTAAATTAGAGGTTTATTTCAGCACCTGTATCATAACCGCACTGAAGAAATCGCAGTCCTTGTAACCTTAATGAGTTTAATTTATTTCCTTAGATCGACACCTTCCTGCCTGACAGCAGATCCATCATGCCCATCCGTGGATCCTGATGGGCAGTCTCAGCGAAAGGTTTGGCTGAAGCAAAGGGCAGACTGAGGGCGAGCGTCCAGAAAGCTGACATACCAGACACTAATCCTGCTTCTGGCTTCCGTCTTCTTTAAGGGCCTCTGACATTTGGTATTTGTTGGAAAAGCATTCGCGTACACAATAAAATACTCAGGGGAGTCCAAGGCTCACTTTTTGTCTCTCAACTTTGCATACAAGCTCCTAAATTGTAATTTCATTTATATTGCTGCCAATATTTCATTGAAGGGTCGTTCACAGTGTCTCCCAGCTTACCGTACAGGTTGACATAAATCACAAGAGTGTTTACGTCACAAAGTCTCCTCACAGCTCTTAAGCATGTAACTATGAATAAAAACACTGTGGAGATTTAAAACATTAGAACAATGAGTTTTTTACAAAGACAGCAGAAATAAAGTAAAACTGCACACAGTTTTTTTTTTTTGACAAATTAAAGGATCTATAAAACATACTTTCAAACATGAAAGCAAAACTTCTGAATATTTAATTACCAGAGTCACAGCAGTTCAAACGGGGGCAGGAAGGTCAGACTTCAAATTTAAATATTAGATATTTTTGCCTCTAGCTTGTTTGAAATCTTTTTGAGCTGAATGAGACTGGCTCGTTATAAAAAGATGAAGCTTAATATTTAACGCCCAGGTCTCACCATGTCCATATTAATAACACGTATTAGGATGCCAGTGGCCAATTAAAAAAAAAGATAAAGATATGAAGCTGATTAAGAGTATTCCTAAAACATCTTAGTCTAACGGTTCATGACTTCCAGCTTGTATTAGTAAAGGGGAGAAAGTCTGGAGCCAAACAGAAAAAAAAAAAAAGGAATAGATGGATTACAAAGGCTTTTAAAAAAAATCTATTACATTTATTAGAACCTTGTTAACATGAAAAACACTTACATTTGACCTTGTTTTACTCATTAAATAAAGACTTGAGCAAAATGTGTTTTCTAGTTGATGAAAAGGTTATAACTCAGCTGAATTTTACCCAATTCAGCTGAAATAACTTCAGTGAGACCCAGCTGCTAGTCTCTGACAGTCCTGAAGAAAGTTTCACTTTGAGGGCTTTCTTGGATGTTCATCCCACTTTAAAATCACTCCAAAGCATCTTAATGTTACTGACTTTGACTAGGCCAAGGACTATCCATATCTTAATGCACACCTCTTATTTGAAGTGGTGTGCATAAGACTGACATGAGACTGTCATAAACATGACATAACATCTGTTATGACCATGAATATGTATGACTGTTGTCACATGTCATTCGGTAAGTAATGTCACTTTCAATGCAAAGTTGACACATTTAATGAACTTTTAATGCAAGTTTTTAAGGTAACTTTTCTGTAAGTGTCATTATTTACCAAATAATACAAAGTTGACACTTTTAATACAGTTTTAATGCAACTTCTAATGTAACTTTGCAATAAAAATATCATTATTTACCAAATGACACTTCATGACAACAGTCACAAATAGTGGTAACAACTCCTTCATGTTCATGACAGTGACATGTCTGTCTTGTGCACACCCCTTCAGATAAAGTGTTACCCTTAATTCTAGGCCAATCCTTGCTGGATCTGCTCATATGTTTCAGGTCATTGTCATGTTGTGGGTTTGGGTTCTGATGCAGCTTTTTTTTCTTGTTTTTTTTTTGTTTTTTTTTGTTTTTTTGCATATAGTCCCATTTTCCTCAAATCCTCATATACGGTGGACTGCATGGATGCAAGATCTCCAGGTCCTGCAACAGCAATCTATCTTCAAACCATGGCATTTCCACCTAAGTTGGTATGATGTTCTCTTCCTGGAATGCTGTACTTGATTTATATCAAACACCTCCCCTGTTCCGTGTCCATGGAAATTGGTTTTAGAGATAAAGTATGACAAACTACTGGTACCTAGTACAAAAATACCATCCTTAACCTTTGAAGTCTAGTGAGAGGAGTGGCTTTCAGTGAGCAGATCTTGTGGATAGGATTTGTGTTTCTTTAATCTTTTTTAGTTAAAGTAAAAAAAAAAAAAAAAGTCTATATCTCCTTATCAGAAGTAGGGCAGATCCTTTTCTCCAGCAGGGTCGGGGTACATCTGGGCAGGTCGCCAGTCCATCACACAGCAACACTGAGACACACAAGACAAACAATCAGGCATGCACACACTTGCACCTAAAATCAAATATGGAGAGCCGTTAATCTACCGACTCATGGTTTTTGTACTGTGGTGATGAGAGTACCCAGTGAACCCATATGTGGAGGGAGAACATAGAAAAAAAAGGAGACATACATATATTTTGTCAAAGGTTATCTTACTTATCCAAGGATTAGTGGATGTTGTGAGTGAGTTCTGTCATAGGTTTCATGAGCATTAAAATGTAATATGACTTTCTCGTCATTGGGATTCCAAACTTAATAAAGCAACTTTTTTGATTCTTGTCGAGTATTTTTGCAAGTGGTTAGTTTGAAAGAAGTTTTGATCGACATGACACCTGAACACATAAAACATGTAAATACCTGGAAAAGGCTACACCATTAACAAACATCTCCAATGCCACCGTGCTTGAAACTCCTCACATTATCAGTTCACTATCATATTATAATTCCAAGATAATATGATGGGCTTATCATAATATCTCCATTATTTTTTCTACTGCACCACCCTTTGGCCCCTTAAGCTGATGTCCCTGAGGTGGGGAGAGGCAGAGAGAGAGAGAGAAAAAAAAAGAAACAGCCAGGAAGTCTGAAGAGATGAGTCGTCGGAAGACAGCAGGAGGGGAACAGGAGAAGAAAAAGGAAAAAAGGCAGCAGCCAGACACATCTCAGCAATGAGGTGTGAAGATTAGCTGTATCTGAGGCAACGCCCCCGCTATGCTCTCCAAATAAATATTATCTCCCTCTCAAGCCCTCCTCCCCTGGTTTCGGCTTGAGCAACAGCTCGTACAGTGGCATGTTGTGGGGACGGTGAGAGGGGAGGTGCAGGGGGGGCCGTACTCTGTTGGCCTCGCCTTATTATCTGAAGCAGGTGGCTGGCAGCAGGGAGCGAAAAATAGGCAGCTCCTTGGAAGCCTCTGATAAAAACCACCATTATAAAAACTTATATCTGTAGCGGCCCTGAAGTTTGATGTATAAGAACTTCATGAATCATCTTGTCCTGAATTTATGCCAACCTAATGGACGTCACACTGGATTAGAAAGTGGACACAAACGAGTTTGTTGTGGCTAGTTAATTAGGCGCATATAAACAACATATTCATAAATGCATAAATAACGATGCGGCGTTATATGTGTATACACAAGCTTTGATTTCATGTTGGTTTATTACTGTAGTCGTGGTTTATGTTGGACCATGGTCGTGGTCGTGGCCATGCAGCTATGAAATGCAGCCTGTGCACACATAGCTTTGATATGTGATTCTGGTGGCTGTAGTGCCAAGCTGGCATTGGCCAATATTCAGGTACAACTGCATCCTGACGTGGTCTGCGAAAGTTATATTAGCGTTGGGCCTGGGGTGTGGTGCAGTCGCAGGAATGTGTGCTGACATATGAAGATTCATCTCAATAAAGAGAACTGCAAAGTTCTATAAGTGTGTTGAGACAAAAGAGCAAACACTTGTGGATTTTTGTGCACTTCTCTTGACTACCTTTGTACAGTGAGATTATCGTGATCTCTTGTAACTTTCTTGAACTGTACAAAGAGATGTAGTTACGTTTTGTTGAAGAAGAAGATTTTATAGTTATAATATATTTTAGGGAAATCTCTGGCTCTATCTTTAGTTAGAAACTCCCTGAAATTTGTTTCCAAGATCAAAAGCCGTTTGTCCCCTTTGTCTAAAAAGAGTGGAAGCTGAGACTCTCCTCTACTGACCTGAACTCCTGCTGTTTTACGGCTTTTCACAGATGAGTGTGAAAACTGGAACTTCTCCTGATTGTTTCCCACACAGACAAAGGGCAGTTCAAAAGATCTTAGCAAACAATCTGCTGTAACTACAGGTAACATAAAGGTCAATAGGGCAGAATAAGTTATTAATCTGAAAACTATAATTAGGCTATTTTAATCAAGACATGTTAAGTTTTAAAACTAGCATATTCTAAATTTATTTTCTTAACAGTTTATACAAAAGAAAAATGAATACTGAAATTTGATCAACAAACGCCTTCTGAAGCTTTATATATTTTATATATAAATCCAAAGTGATGTAAGTTACTCCTCAATGTACATCATATAAACAGCTGAGGAATTCAATGTAATATACAGAGTTCACTATGAGCAGCTCACTTTAATAGCCCTTATTTTCTATACATCTTTGATGCAGACTCTCACAGCCGGCTAAATCTACAGAGGCCACTTTGCAGTATGACCGAGTGATGAGTCATTCTAATAATAACAGTGGCTCGGTCCTCCCAGGGGTCAGTCTGTCTGCTGGCAGTCGACACACTGTGCTCTCCTGTGGCGTTACTGCATTGAGTGAAAGCTTTTTAGGTTTCGATCAATAGAAGTGAACATTTGGGACAAGCATGGGTTGGCTTTGACAGCCCCACACGGAGTTCTAAGTCACTTCCTCTGTGTTTGAACAATTTATGGTTTCTTTGTGCAGGTATGAGTGTAGGCTGCACAGATATGCATACATAAAGAGGGCTTTTAGTGATGGAGCCGAACCTTTTGCACTGCTCTGAATAATGCTTCGGTGTGAAGACTTCATACCCGATGAATGAGATCTGCATATGAATTTATTAACACTGTGAGCAAATGAAGACCACTTTTTTTCTGTTTTCTTTTTGTTTTAGATTAAACTTTTTTTGTTGCATTTATTTATGCAATAGTGCGTTATTGTCTCCAAATCTTTGGATGACTCTTTGGATACATTGCCTTCTGCCTATAAAAGATTGGTTTGCAGCCACAGATCCAGGAGGAACGCCGAGACGTTTTCATCCTCCAAATGCAGGCCTCTCAAGTCAGATCCAGATTTGATGATTATGGTTTTCGCCTGATGAAAACTGAAAATGTAGTTAATCCACAAAAAAAAAAAAGTGTATTGAGACCAATCGGTTAAAAATAATACTTTCAATGCATCAACCATATATTAAGGTATGTAAACAAATGGGGAAGACTATTGACTTGACAGCTGTTCAGGTGATAGATACTATTCCTCTACACAACTTAAATTATGTAGGAACTTACTGAGAGAGCAATGTGGTAATGAGGAGGTGTGGAATCTGATATGTTTTGATTGCTGCATGCTGCAGTGCACGTTGGATGTGTTTCTTTGTTGAGTCATTTGGGTCCCGTAGTTTAGCCTCATGCAGGTCAAGTGGGCTCAGCTGTCTCCACTGTGGCCGTCAGGATCATAAAGCACAAAGCTGTGTGAGGTGCTGTTCTGGTTGCCTGTTGACCATCTGGAAGTGTGAGAATTGTCTAATATGGTGGTGAAGGTTTGTTTCAAAGTCTGTTCGTTCATATGGTGTTTTCTGTCTTCTTGGTGGTGACGAGGAAGGTGTTGTATTGGAAATTGCTTTTGAGTAAACGAGCAAACACTCGACTTGGTTTGGCAGTTTTATTGAGTCTGGTCCTTGAATGGAAAATATAATGCAAATCCTCTTGTTTAGCCCATAAATATGTGGTAATGTGGCCTCGGTTTTTCCGTTTTGGAATTCTATTTATGTTTTCTTTTATATTGTTTTGATTGCTTGCTTGTCATATTTTGAAATTATGTATTTTCTTAGGTTTAGCTGAGTTAAACTTTTGAGTTATTGTTTTGCATGTTTTCTGATTGTTTATTTTGGAGGTCACGTGTCCGGATACCCAAAGAAGCCCTGCACCGGTGCTATACATCTGCTTAATTAGCGTGGAGATTGTCATGACAATTAAAAAGGACACAAGCAGAGAGGACGGACAGGAAAAAAATAGGGAGAAGACGGAGCGGCGGCGATTGTGTGGCAGGAGCGGGGAGGCGGTGTATCCAGACAGGCGGACTATACGGGAAGACTGGTCGCCGTCGAGGAGCGGCGGCTGGGTCGCTGACAGGGTTCGCCAGGAACGGAGGACTTGATGTGGTGGAGGACCGCTCCCTTCCTTTGCTCAGATAAGGACAAACTATAGACTGGCTTATGGGTTGATTGTCATGGACTGTCCGCACCTCCTTCGCTTCTGATATTGTTTTAAAATAAATTATTGTAACTTTTACGGGTTTTGTTTCGTAACTGTTCAAAACTCATGCAGTTATTTAGTTGGTACACCACTCGGGTGCCACAAATACATTGTTTTGTTTAAGGGAGCAGGAGTGCAAAAAAACTAAAATTTACTCTTTCCTGGTGCTGGATTATATTTTTCAGTCAGAGAAAATTAACTTTATAAAGTTCATTTTTCTCTTCAGCATACTAAGTTTTTTTTTTTTTTTTTTTTTTGTCTTTTTTCTCTCTCCTTTTGGGGGGGAACTCCTAAAAAAGGTCATGATTACCACCAGCAAATCAGTTTTGTAATTTTGCCTTTTCTTTTCCTTGCAACAATTTTGTTGTCCAAGTTTAATTATACTGAAGTTGCAAGTAGACAAGTCAAAATTTTCAGTATTACGACACTCTTCAAACTCTTTGACACGCATAGGTTTATTTTCAGCTCTCGATAGATCCAAACATTGCATCGCTGTCAGTTTGAGCGGCTTCTGGAGCGACATAACGACAATACACTATTTTTCTTTCTCTCACGACTTCAGGTAATTCTTCACCAATAATGAACTGATTACTTGCACATCATAGAATACATATAGGTTACAGAACATGGTTCTTAAATAAGGTTCTACACTGATCGACATCTCTACAATGATTCTGTTAGCTTCACGTGCTTCTCCACAAAGGTCGCATGGCCCTGCAGGCTCCTTGTCCTCTTTTTCCTGCTCTGGGTCAGACTCTGACTCCAACAGGGACAACAACAACCTGCACAAAGCTGAAATGCACAAGTACTTCAGATTCCTTTTGTCAATTTTAATTGTTTGGGGTACCGCCATCAGCAGGAAGTTAAATTAATCGTGCTCCTCGATTGGTTGGTTTACAAATGCCAGCCAGAGTGTCAAGTAGTATTTTAGCTTCCCACGCTGTTTTTTTAATTTTAGATATGCTCTATGAAATAAGCAAAATTTTGGGAAATAATTTGTTCCACAGAAATATTAATTTGATTCCATGAATACTGAACCGTAGACAGGCGGGGTTCCAATGTTACAGTAACTCAAAATATCGCTCTTGACGCTAGATGTATACAATATCAAGTGAACCAGCAGCTTGATCATTTTCATTATTCTGATACACAAAAGACTAAATAAATAAATAAATAAATGATCAACTTTCTTTTTCAAATCCCTTTACTTGCCATCATCTGTTTTTAATTAAAGTGGCCCTTGACCCACAAAAATTCTTAAATCCAACATTGTTTTAGGCAGACTAACATCACTTTGTAAATAAATTATAGTAAGACTAAAGTATTAATTAAGTGGTGTTTCAATTCTTGTTTAGAAACAGTAACATTAAATTATCATAGATGACCGACTGCAGTGAGAAAGCTGCTCTGATGTGAGAGATTGAAGCTTCCTGGGAGAAACGGTGCATGTCCAATTTTCTGGGCAGTGAACGACGTGGCTTTAGGGTTTGATCTAAAACCTTTTTGACATGTGTCCACACATATCAAACGATCCTTCATGACAACATGTAAAAAAAAAAAAAAAAAAGCTGCTGCCTACTGTCAGCAGGTTCAAGAACATGTCTCACCTCTCGACCTTCGACCAGAGTTACCTCAGACTACAACATCCTTTATTACTGACTGACAATCCTAACCTCTTTTCCTGCGGTTTTGGCATTCAGCTGACTTAGTCTTCTGCGGTTTTCAGTGAGATGGTAAAGTCCTATTAGCTGCAGGCCATTTTGTGCAGATACATGACTGCTGATGGACACGCTGGGAAATTGCAGAGATTGAGCCTGTGGCGGTCCAGTTTCAGAACCGTAATGGGACACTTTCACGCTGTGAGGTGACTGACCAGGGTAGCATTTTGAACAATTTGAATGGGGTCTGCCTCCTGGTTTGCACCACAATTTCCATCTCAACAAAATAAAATTGAATAACATTTTTATCAATGGAATGAGAGAATGGATGAAAGAAAATTATTGTGAGAGAAGATATAGTATGAGAAGTAAGAAGGTAATACATGCAACACTAATTATTTGCACTTTTGCTTGCTTCTAAAACCAAACCAATGCCAAATTTCAGTCTTACTAGAAGAAAATCAAAGATTTTAATTCTTCATAAGATAAGACAATCCTTTATTAATCTCGCAAGTGGAAAATTTAAAATGTCGTGGCAAAAAGTGGACAAAACAAGAGCAACAGAAACTAAAAACAGAATAAAATGAACAGTACAGTGTAGGGGAAAAACTATAAATTTGAAAACATCCATATGTACACAAATTATATGTAATATATTCATACTCACACATACGAATATGTATTTACATAACATATAAATACATACAACCACAGACATGCATATGTAAATGTAATTACACATAGAGAAATGTACATTAACATAATGTTTTAAACCTGTTACCTGTGAAAGCGTAATTTTTTTGTTATATATTCATGCTTGAATCTTTGGTGGCCCCCAACTGGACCCCAGCAGAGAGCCAGTCTACCTTATCAGCTTAGAAACAGCTTTTATCTTTGTTTTTTTATTGTAGTTTGAGGCTTCTGTGTCTTCTTCTTTGTCTCCATTTTGTTCTCTCAACCCATTTTCAATCCTGTCAGAAAAGTACTTTTTTTTCCCTGTTGAAGGTTAGTTGTTTCTCTCTACAATCGCCAAATGATTTCTCAGGAGTAGAAGTGCCACTGACTTTATAGAAGTAACTGGGCCTCAACAGCTTGGTTTTTACTAGTTGACTTTTTTTACAGTCAACTACATTTTAAAATATTGTATTGCAGTTTGAATTGAATTAAACTAGGGTTGCAGAAGACTAGCTTTTAATACTAAAAATGACACTTTTGAAAACATGCGGGGACCCGCTGCTGAGCCGTGCCAGTAATAGCCTCCTTTTCAAGGTTGACGAGGTTGATGTCATTATCTGTTTCATAAGAGGTAACACTCAGGTCACTGCTGCATTGTCACCAGAGTCTGGGGCGTACATCAAATCAGCAGTTTCAGTGCTGTGAAACATGTTTGACATCAAAGTACCCTCAAAACATGTTTTGGATGTGTGGACCATTTACCTGGTCATATCTTCAGGAAACTGAGGGGGAATCCAGAACAAACCTGACCTTAGAGAGAGAGAGATCTTTTTTTTTCAGTTTGTCAAAGACAAAAGGGTTTTTATCCATTTTAACTCTTTGGTCCTCTCTATTTCTGTCTTTAAGCTGTTACTTTTGATATTTTTTTTTATACACATACAGAAAATAAGACTTGACTGTGTGACAGGTTGTAGATAACAGAGTGACATGTTGTAAGGTTCATTATTGGTGATGCACTTACTTATTTGAAATCAGAAGAACACATACTCAAAACCCAAAATAACAGCTTATATTTCAATTTTGACCTTAAGTAATTGTGCTTACTTATTTTAAAAGCTTTAAATTAAGCTTTAATCAGTTTCATACTGTTTAGCAATATGATGGCAAGAAAAAAAATTCATATACAGTCAAATGAAACCATTTAAACATTCAATATATTTTTTTACTTTTTTATTAGAATTGAAAATATGATCTTAGCTTTGTTTGCATATGAAGCTGTAAAAATCGTCCTTGTTTTAACTGTGTGACTGCCTCAATGGAGATAATCGCCCAGTAGAAGAAGAGCATCTGTTGCCCATGGTGCCAATGGGGCTCAGCACTGCCCCCTATCAGTGCAGCATGGTACTTCCTGCCTCACCATTTATGACCAATCAAAAAGACTCAATATGACACACACACACATTCAATAAGTATTAGACAGACTTTGGAGCGTCAACCTGTGTCATACATTATGTAACTAAACAGGTTATTTTACATATACATGGATTATAAAGAAAGACGGTAATGGGCTTCGGTCACTGTGTGTGAAACAGAACAGGAGCTTCACCTTGCCCTTCTCCATGTATTTGAACAGGAAATGAGTACATTCAGCAAATGTCACCATAACATTTAGAAATTGCAGAGAAAACAATTTATCGAACAGTCAGATGGACAAACTGAGTTTCTCTTATCTGATTGTTTGTATTTTATTTCTCTAAATGCCTCACTTGCCTCCCCTGACTGGATGTCACTGGTAGCAAAGCTCCTAAAAGTCCATTTTAGTATTTGTTCTTTTCTAGTTAGTTATTTTTTAATTATTATTTTTTATTTTAAGAAACAGCACTGGTGTCAACCATCCACTTCGCTAAACCCCATCCTGGGAATTAAAACATGCTGGTGAGTGCTACAGGCACCGGGACATCAAACATGCCAGCAGTGGATTTATTCATTCATGCATAAAGGTGACACTTCAGGACTGGCAACAAAAATGTTGTGGTGTTAAAAGCAGAGCCCATCTTTTATCGTTGGGTACCAGACTCCCGGTGCATCACAGGAGGCCGCAGTCAGGAATGGCAAAGGTTTTAGGTTTTTCTGTAAAACAATAACCTATTACAATACCTATTCAGTGTATAGTAAAAAAAAATGAAACAATCTTATCCCCCTATTTGCATGATATGTTGAAAACTTAGCAGCCTTTTATGAATAGTATTTTTGTTGATTTATAGTTATAGTAGTTTATTGTGTGAACAGCGTTGATGTTTACACAAACTTGTGTAAACTAAAGATTTTCTTTAGATCATTATCTTTCCTTTTGATTTCTATTTCTCTCTGTTTTCTGGATTTATCTTTTTTTTTCTGGTCAAACAGGCTCAACTTAGATTTGATGTGATTGGATGTAGATTGGATTTGCTAATCTTGTGATGTGACTTAAGATAATGCTTATTATGAATTGGTACAGTGCATAATGAATATTCTATAAAAAAATGCTTTAACAGATGTATTTAAACTGTTACACAACATATAACTCCAACTTTTTAAAATGTAGAAATTATTACACCAGTCTGCTGACAATTTTCTCTTGTTAACGCAGAGTCAAAATAATAAATACAGACTAGAATATGTACAACAACCCTGAATAATACTTGGGTAAAAACCATTGATAAGTTAGAGATAAGCAACAAGCTTTTAGTATCCATCAGCAGCCTCCCATCTCAATATTTGACCGCTCTTTTTAATTCGTGGAGCATATTAGAATTGATTGTTTTCTGACACAGGCAGCAATTTAAAGTATGGCCCATAAATTTTTAATATGAGGTTTGGAACTATTTGGAAGTTCAGTGATAGTTTGCTTTTATCCGTTCTATTCATCCAAATGATTTTAGGGTTAATATCCAGTTGCAACATCCAACAGGATAAGCTTCAGTCATCTAGCTGTTGATTAGAGGAAATCTGGAGCCAGTTGTCTTCATTACACAAGGAAGTTGGTGTGGTTTTCTTTGGCTTAGGCTCACCTTGACACCTTCGAATGTCCTTAGTCGTTAATCGATGTTTGTCTAAAATGATAAAGTACTTTTTAGCCTATCTACATGAACAGCAGCCAATTGCAGCCGCGCTCAAAGGTGCTGATTATAAAGCAGAACCTCTGAGTTTTTACTGAATGTCCTGAATGGTTATCTTTTTACCTGTAACACATATTTTGTGTTAGATGGTTAATACTTTGACACAAGTGAGTGTTCCAACAAGACAGTGATCCCAAATACACTGAGATCACTGGGAGAAAAAGTGGTTTTGGAATGGATAAAGGAGGTTAACATTGAACATCTAAAACAAGCCAGTGCTGAAGAAATCAATCTAACAGAGGCATGTAAATGTTTCCACCCTGTTGGAAAGTTATGGACTGTGCTGAAAAGCCGAGTCTGTGCCAGGAAACCAACCAGTTTCCAACGAGTTCTGCTAATTCTCTGAAGAAGAGGAGCCAAATAACCGACCACAATTATGACAGAAGCTTGTTGATTGCTACAAAAAGGGTGTGATTACTTAGAAAATTGATATGGACCATTTAGCCACATATAAGTGTGTATATGTAATAATATAAACTTGCACATTCATTTCTGTTTTTTTTTTATTTATTGTGAGGGTTATTTCTTCTGCTAATATTACATCTTGAAAAACAAAGGCTCAAATGTGTTTTAAAAATGTACCTGCCTGACATTTATTTTCCTGATTGGTGCGTGTAGTCTCCTCACTGGCCCTGCAACTAGACAAAATTAAACAGAACAGCTCCTGTATCCATTTGCACACCACGTCCTTGTTTGTTAATCTTCACACCTGCCCTGTGTTAGCTAATAACTTACATGGTATATACTTCCAGGTTTTTAGACATGCTGCAAAATCCTTGTTTTCTTTTTTTAAGTTGTGCCCTCCTGTTATGCACCTGTGCCAACTTTAGTTGAGTCAGGCTTTGTCCTCATGCAGCCCTGGTTTTGTTGAATAAATATACCTATTCTTTAAAAAAAACAAAAAAAAAACAATCTGCCTTTCTCCTGTTTCTGAACCCTATAAGATTTCTTCTTCACCATGAAACTGTATTATTAACAAAGATAGTTCATCTGGTTGTTGCCATTAAAAATATATAGTTGTTGTCTTATAAAACAGATAAGGAAAAAATGTGGGTGTATCTGTTTCTTCTTCCATTCAAAAGATTTTCCCACAGGACAAATGGATCTTTGAGGCTCCTCCAGAGTGAGATCAAGGTAAAGTTTATTTATATATCACGTTTCCATCAACTCAAGCTACACAAAGGCTTTTTACAAGGAAATTTTTCTCTAAAAAGTTAAAAGCCATAACATTTCAAAAGGCATTTATCTCTGCTAAGATGCAATAATCGAAACACAAACAAGAAACTAGGACAGCATGTAAAAAAAGGAGTGAATTTCCACCATAAAACTCAAGAAATATTTAGGTTAAAAAGGTCAAGGCCTTTTCTGAGCTCCAAAAGTAGAAAATTTGCAAGAAAAAAAATCTCTGAGACTTTTAGATTAATTTGAGTTTGAAAAGTAAAAGTAAATTTTCTTGCTGGCAGGTCCAACAACAAGAAAGCACGAGACCTACCAGAATCCAAAGTAAGAAAAATGCCAGGTACATACTTGTTTTAAGTTAAACATGGTGAATTGCACACAGCTTGAATCATTTTCTGTGCAATGTGACAAAACATGGAGATGTTCAATGGCTATGAATACTTATAAGGCATTCTATAGCACTATGCCCAATCCTGCAAGGTATTAAAGACTCCTTAGTTCATTATTTAGCAGGTTCCTGTTTCCTGCATAATACATTCCACTTTTGAAAAACCAATAACCACAAACCATTCACTGTCACTGAAGGAAAATGCACAGCTTCCCTCCTCCTGCTCTCTTTGTGTCTGGCATACCTACAGCCATGAAAGGTGCAGCTGATACTACCAACCTCACAGGGTCATATCAGCAGATAAGAGCTGTGAATCAGATGTTTTACTATGCGACGGCAGACTGTCACCCCCAGAGTGTCCTCTGAATCCCTAAAGGGCATGGCAGTCTGGAACAGTCAGACGAGCAATGAATAAACGTCTGGAAGAACTGCTCCACTGCTCCACTTCTCCTATCCGTCCCTAATGCTCACATCAACAATCACGCGTTCATCTCTGGAAAATTACATTGAAAGAAAAAAATAATAATAACCCAGACATATTTAGGATGGATATTTCTTCTTGTAAACCACCACTGTGCTGAAGAAATCAATCTAACAGAGACATGTAAATGTTGCTATCAGCGCTTCTATCACTTCATGGCCCACATGCCCAAACATGGTCAGATCCTTTGACGGCAGCTCCAACCAGACAAAATGTTCCCCTGTTTGCCTACAGGCTGTTGAGCTGGTCTGCTTGTGTTGAGTGTGTGTGCGCGTGTGTGTGCGTGTGTGGGTGTGAGGATGAGTTGAGCTGATATGGAGTCATTTTGTGTCACAATTGCATGTTCAGAAAAGCTCCCCCCCTCCTTTTACGAATGAGATTGAATATTTCCCTGCTTTCCAGCACATTCTTTGATCTCAGTCTTTGCCAATTCAGAGCAGCCGACCACACCCATTAGATGGAGGTCCGTGCAATTTCCTTTCTTTCTTTTTTTAAATTTTCGTTTTGTGCTCGTTTGTCCTTCCCTTTTATATTTTTTTCTCTCTCTTCATTTCTCGGTGGTGTGATTTTTCTCTACGTGCTGCATCGTCGGTGAAGCCACGTGCTCTGTGTTTATCATGAGGAAGGGGTGGGAGGCAGAGTGACGAAGAAACTATTCTCTCTCTTTTTGTCCATTGCAACCCCGAGCGCACACACACACACACACACACACACACTCCCTCTCTCTCTCTCCCTCTTTCTCTCTCTCTGTCATCCAGATTGTGGCAAACGGAGAGACAAGGACAAAAACCCAACCACGATCACTGAGAGCTACGCTACAGGTACAGTAAATTTTGATCTATCTGCAGCTTTGTGTTAATTTAAACATTTAAAATGGTTGAATCTCTTTGTAGCGCTTCAAATGGCTTAAAATTTGCCTCTATCTTTTTATATTGGCCATGATTGTGAGACTTGACGCCTCCCTTGAGAGGTGGCTTTTTCTTGTGTTAGAGGACAACAGCAGCAGGAGGAAGAGGAGGATGTTAAAAATGAGGACAGCAATTTTTTTTTCCCTCTTTTTTCTTTTTTTTTTCTGGCACAGAATCTGTGAGTACTGATGCTGAGGCTTTGTACTTCTGCTTACACACCCCCGCTGGCGGCTTCTGCATTTGCGTGAACGGAATGTCGACAGGTTGAATTTGTTGACCCCGCGGGGAACAAAAGGGCACCATTTGCTGGAGACCGAGAGCAAAATGCATGTATAAATATTGCGCTCTTAAGGGGACTTACGTCACTGAGAATGGAGCAGAAGATAATGTCTGGCTGTCGCAGGGTGAGGCAGCTGAATGATGCCTAAGTCATAAAAGTTGATTGAATTTGGTGCAGGCTTGAATAGCGGTGCCTCATATCTGAATGCATTAATGCTCCTGGCGACACCTGTCTGAGTCTGAAACACAAATTCTGGTGTTCTTTTCTTTGAGAAATAAAACCACGCATCTTCGTTTTGCCACCTGGACCCTTTGAAAAGATTACATAAATGAGCAAAAATACTAGCTTAGTCCTTTGTACTGTCACCAAATCATTAATGATTTAAATGAAGGATAATTAAACTATATCCTTCTGCCAGAATTGCTTTTTTTTTTTCCACATCCAGTGAGTGTTTTTCCTCTAAACTGTTTTTTCTCCCCCATTCCCATTGAAGTTGAGGCTGTCTTTCCTTTGGGAGCGGTCTGTTTCCTTGCTCTGAACTTATTAATAGATCTACAAAGGCAAAATAGACTCCTGTTTTTTGTTCCTTTACCAGCCTCAAATCAGGTTTAATTTAGACCGTACCACTGCTCCATTAAGCCCATTTTGGCATCTGACTATTGAGATTTACCATAGTGTTTAGGAAACCAGATAAACCCAGAGCCCTGTGTGAATATTAATGTGTCAAATCGAGTTCAAGCTGAAAAATTCATTCTGGGTGTATCTGTTTGAAGCTCCTTTGCTTGCACACTTACAAACGACCGACTCACACCCCATATTTATGAGGCTGTACACTGGCTACAATATTTTTGTTAGTTTTGTTTTTTGTACATTAGATATTTTAATTTGTTTTCATTTGGATGTTATATTAACATCACTTTTACACGTGACATGACCTGTTTTTGTTTTTAATTGATAGGAATGAATGCTAACCAATATATATGCTAAATTTTCATTCTTATTTTCACATTGGAATCAAGTGCCAAAATAAAAAAAGAAAAATTGTAATTTTTATCCTCAAATCTAATATAACAGGATAATCAAAAGCGATATTTTTAGCAAAGCCATCATTGGAAAGCAAGCTAACTCAGGTAGCTGTGTTTGCTAGCGTTACTAATATTGGTAATGTTAGCACATAAAGTTGTTACTGTTATATTTTGGAGAACTACTTTGTACATAAAAAACAATCACAATTTATCAGAATAACAAAAACCTACATTTTGAGGAATTCTGATTTACAAGTACCGCTAACCAAGTTAGCAGTAATGTTAGCATTCCTAATAAGCAAACAATGTTATTTTTTATAATTTTCTGTCCAAGAAAACTATTTACTTATCAGTCTAGATAAATAACAAATTTGTAAATTGATTAACAAAGAGCAACATTTAAAAGCATTGACACAAAAGTAACAATGTTTGCTAATATGTTTGCTAATGTTGCTGTAGCTGCATTGTTAATATTCTGTTTTATCTAACAGTGCTATTTTATTTTATATATTTAAAACACAGAAATTAAGTCAACAGAACAATTAAATACAGCATTTTAAGGGCAGGTGACTTTAGTAAGCAAAGTCAAATTCCCTAGACGTGCTTGCAAATATTTCTAACATTTACGCTCAAAGAAAGCAAACTTATTAACGGTTTATCTAAAACAAATGTATCGGTTTTCCTAAGGTTACTTATTTTAATTATTTCCAACAGAAATGTTTTTCTAGAATTTGAAGAGTAGGTTAGGTTAAGAGACCAATTTTAACCACTACGTATGTATCTCACCTGTGGCAGTGGCACAAATCATACATAAAAATATCTATACATTTGTAAATAAATGCAGGGAGTAAAGGGTTGAAAAGTGTGATTGACATCGAAGGATTTACTTGTTTGTAAGTCTTGCTGTTTTTCTGCTTCTTTGTATGTTGAAACAAATCTTCTCTCTCCTTGGAGTCTCCAAATCTCTCTCTAAACATCCATCTCCCTCCCACCCAGTGGCATTCTCAACAGCTAAACAATGAGGTTGGCACTGTGAGTGAGCCACTGGAAGAGCAGCACTGTTATTAGCGTGTTCTGCATGCTAATGCTTTCCACTTTGCAAGATGTTTTTCCTAGATTTCTTCTCTTTATTTGGGAGCTCAACTTTCGTCTGCATTGGGGTTGTTAAAATTATTTCCGTTAGTCAATATTCATATCAAATTGGGTTTTTGGTGGTTTTTCAATACAGTTGTGGGACATGCAATCCCACCGGTTCGGAAGCATCAATATTTCAGTGAGAGGGATTGCATTGCAAAGATTTTTCACCTTTGATTCGCTAGAATTTTTTTTTTTTTTTTTTACAGGATTCTTTTCAGGCTGTTGGGTGTCCTTTTGATTAGTAGCTTTGTTGTCTTCCAATAAAACTCTGTGAATCTTTTCATAACCTCAGCAGCACTGCAGTAGATCTTGTCTTGTATTTTTATACCTGCTGAAAGAAGCGGCGAGGAACTTCCCTTCCAAGTCTGGCTGCACGGTTCCAGTGAGCCTTCTGCAGACGATGTACGTAGGATTATAAAGCCACTGTAGCCAAAATAACGTACCATGCTGTGCCTCGCAGTCCCCATCCCCCGCTCTCTCCCCTTATTCAGCTCGGCTGAAATTGTTTATGGCATTTTCCGTTCATCTGTTTCATTCTGTCAAACAGTCCAGTGTTGTGCATATTTATTATGCAGCAGTCAGCCATTAGAAAATCATTATCTAGTAATTAAACAAATATGCTTAGTACAGAAGTAGTTCATCTGTCATGGCATAGTTATCTACTTAGAGATAATTTCATAGATGCTAGAGGCATTAGAGTGATGCTCAGAGGAAAGGTGACGTCCTAAAATGTTTCTGCATGTCATTTTCAGGTTGAGGTTCACATTATTTTCTGGCTCTGCTTCGGCTTTGTGAAGTCTAATCATTCCCCAGATTGTTTATTCATTGAATGCTTATTATGTTCCCGACTTAATACTGCTTCTAAATGTTTAGCCCTCATGGGCCCCTGGGCATTTTACTTGTGTTTTTGAATTTTATTATTAATTAAGTGTGGCTGTGGGATGATTCGAATGGAATAACATTTGTCCAGGCTGTATGTTTATTGGTGATTTTAATTTGTTTTTTTTAATGACTTTTATTTATTTTTGAAGTCTTGCACATTCCTTTAAAAAAGGTCATTTTTTTGACCTTTCTGCCCTTTTTACCATTAACTAACATTCAAAATTATTTTTTTGTTGTTTTATTGGCATATTTTATCAAAATGCATCATAGTTGAGATTTTTTTCAAGGACTATAAATCAAACAATCTCAACACACAGACCAAACGGCTTTTTCATTTTTCCACATAACATCTTAATGACTCCTAACTTTCGGAAAAAATAGTCTGTAGATTGAAAAAAGTGTTACTTTTTGTAAGGCATGTCCCCTCCACCCTCAAAGAAAGAACATCCTACTATACTAATAATTATACATGGTTCTGCGAGTGTAATCTTCTTTGACTGCTTTGATGATTCAGTCTCCGGATGACTTGATGGAACCATAGATTCTTGTCTTAAGTTGAAAATCCTGCAGGAGAATGTCCAGCATCAGAAAAAAATAAGGCCATTTATCATTTATGACCCAATGCTTAAGTGAACTTGAGTTATGCACAATAATCTGAGAAAAAAGCAAGACCACCTTTGAAAGTCTAAAACTTTGAAGGGTTTTGGAATGGCCTAATCAAGGTCTGGATGTAAATGTGATTTGATTTGATTTGTTCTATTTTTAGACTTTTGTCTCCATTTCTTTGATTGCAGCATTCCATGTTTGGACAGTTTTTCCCTTTGGTTTTGGATGCTTTTCAGCTGGAAGAAATTTTGCTCCTACTTTTATACTTTCCAATATTTGTTATGATGTACAACCATGGCAACAAAGGTATTGTTTTTACAACTGGGAGCAGCTGTTCAGCATCTCAAAAAGCTCAAATCATACCTGAACTACAACCGCAAATCCTAGAGGAGTTGAAAAGGAGACTTTGGGGCTGCAGAGCAAAACGAAAGAGCAGAGAGAGAAGGCAGAACTTCAAACTCTCTGTTCTATGAATCACAATGGGCGAGGGTTAAATCCCCAACTCCAGCATCTCTCTTTCTAACCACATGGTCACACAGAGCTCTTAAAAGGAGCGGCAAAAGCAAATGATGAATATAATCTCCACTACCTGGAAATTGAGCAGTTAGCACGTCAAACGATGGTCATTCAGCAACAATCTTCAGTCAGAAGCTTCTTCAGATTTGTTGCAAGACTGACTGCTACTAGAGCTCTGTCCTCACATCCACAGTAACACAGTAAAAAAGACTCATTACCAATAATCCCGTTTTTAAAAATGGGGCCAGGTTTGGATATCTTTTTTTTCTTCATAAGAAATAATATCAAAACTTGAATATTGGACTAGAATTGGAAAAAATGATCCAAATTATTGTTTATATCACAATCTTTTAAAATATGACTATGGTTAATAATGGCATTTTGGGGGAAAAAATGTGTGGACACATATTTTTTCTTCTTCAAAGCATTTTTTGTGTCAGAGGGACAAAGTTGGAGCAGAAATCAAA